CATCGGTGCCGTACCTCCTGTTGAGTGTGGCGCTGTTGAGGGCGAAGTAGACGTAGGGGTCCAGCTGACTGGCCTTCACGTCGTCTCTGCCTTTCTGCAGGACACACAGGACAGTGGAGACAGATGTACGTGGCCTGGGGCAGCTGGCAGCCTGGCAGGGGACAGTGCCCCCTTCCCCTGAACCCTGGGACCAACACTGCTGCAGTGGTGTGGGCTCAAGGCAGGGGGTAGAGGGGCAGCGGGCCTGGGGGACACAGCCCCATGGCATCTCCCAGGTTTTTAAGCCTCCCCAGAGGTGCTGGGTGCAGGCTGCAGCCAAGCTTGGGGATGGGGACTGGGATGTGCCAGTGCTCCTGCTGGTACCAGCCCTGCAGGGTCCTGGCTACAGGGTCTTGCCCCTCTGCTCAGTCTCAGACCAATGCTGCACTGGGGGTAGGAAGAGATTTCCTGCAGTCAGATTGATCTGAGCTGGGGGTTTTGCCTTCCTCTGCAGCGGGGGCACAGCTTCTGCCTGGGGTCTCTGGAGCACCCAAGAACCCCCCTGGCAGCAGCAGGTCATTGGTGTCCGCAGCCCCCCTGCTTTCACAGGGGCGGGGGTGATGCCTGGGCTTGTGTCTGGGTGACTGTCGTGTGGCTCAGCAGTCGGACATGAGGTTTGTCTGGGCTGGTTTGGACAGAGCTGGTCTTGCCTCCGTTAGGGCTGAGACTGGCCAGCCCCAGGGCTCTGGGACTACAACAGCCCCACACATGCTGCAGCGCCAGGCTGGGCCCCTGAATGTCTGGGCTCTGGGCAGCTGCCTCCTGCTGCACCTGGGGCCCCAGGGCAGGGCACAGAGGGCACCACAGCACAGGGGTTGCCTGAGTTGGCGCCCTACCTTGCTGCCCTGGAGGCAGGTGTCATAGGGGCCCCTTACCTTGGACGTGTAGTCCTCCTTGTGTCCTGGCGGCAGATGGATACTGGAGCCTCCTACTGCAACACAAGACCCAGGGCAGGTTAGGTAGGGCCCAGACACCGGGGGGTGGGTGGGGAGCACGTCACATCTCAGCAAAGGACAGGGTCCTGCCTGGACAGAGCGGGCTGGGCTCGGCCCTGAGTGGGGTGGCCTGGGGCCCGTGGGCCTCATTATCCCCCAAGCAATACTCGGGATGAGGCAGAGCATGCGAGCCATGTGCCAGGGGCTGCCCTGGTGACTGCGACAGCTGGCAGCCAAGAGCTCTCACTGCCCCGGGCATGGAAAGGTATATGTTCTTTGTCACGTGCTTGAAACTGTAAACTGCTGCAATCAATAAATGTTCTCACAGAATGGACTGATCTCGTTCAAGCTTTTATGAAATCATTGTTACTACCTGGAGTCTAGTGTTAAGTCTGGTAACAAAATAGTGAAGGGTTAACAGGGCTGGGGCAAGACCTCTTCACAGGGCCAGTGTCTCCCATGGGTCATGAGACCCCAAAGCTCCCCATTCTCTTCTCCTAGTGGGACCGGAGCCAGGCCCAGGCCCCCCCAGCCTCCACCCTCATCTGGGTCTTGGAGGCGCCTCGTGGCGCTGGTTGCAGGTGGCCGCCTGGCACAGAACGCACTGCCTCCACCCATGGGCCTCAGCCACACGGATGTTCAGCACGCAGCACATTGTAGCGCACGGCTGGCAGCAGCACCTGCACCAGCTCAAAGCTCTGGGGAAATGGGGGTCAGCTAGGAAAGCCCACCCCCCGCTGGGGACACCATGCCTGCCACAGCTACGGGTCAGACGCAGCTTCCCCCACCCCCAGAGTGCCCTAAGGGCCCAAGCTGGATTCAGCCATGCTGCACCTCCCTGTCCATCCCCTACTCACCAATGGTTGCGAATGAACTTCAGCTTCGCACGGAAGTGACGCTTCGTGATACCCGGCAGGTCCTGCAAAGCCTCCAGCTGCCAGGACAAGGATCATCACCCTGCCATTCCAACACTCACTACCTCTCCAGGCCCCACACCCTGTCGCCCCCATCACCCCCACACCCCATTGCTCCCTGCCCACCACACAAGGTGCCCCACACCCTCCGCAGATGGAGCTGATCTCCCCCAGTATCACCATTCCCCCACCCTGGACCCTGCGATGGTGCTGCCCCCACCCCACAGCAGGGCAATTCAGCCCTCACCCCCTTCTTGGCAGTGGCTGAGTGGGGCAGGTGCAAGCCTAGGATGTGCTGCAAGCCAGGGCAGTCCAGCTGCTGAGTTGGGAAGGGAGCCCTCCCCCTGCCTCCCACTGCAGGAGCCCAGCTCTGTCCCCCCAGGCCAGACTTACCACGGCAGGGATATGTGGGGCCAACAACCTGTCATCCAAGAGCAGCAGTGTGGCCCGGAGGAAGCCGAGCACAGCCTTGACCACGCGGCGGGTGCGGAAACCCAGCAGCAGGCAGACGCTGCGCAGCAGGTGCTCCATCTCATCCGGGCCCAGGTGCTCTGTGGGGCAGGCAGTGCCGCTGAGGTCTGCGCCCACCCAGGGGACCCTACCCCCCTGTGCAGGCCAGGCCCACACCCAGCTGGGGCTGGCGAGCAGGATGGAGCCCTTCTTGCTGGCAGAGGGGCTCTGGCTCTGGTAGGTGCCAAGACAGGCTCTGTCAAGCAAGAGCTCCCCTAGATGGGCCCACAGTGCCCCCACATCTGCCCCTCTGCTCCCCCAATGGCACCAGGGGGCTGCAAAGAGCCCCTCCGCCACCTTCAAAGGGCTCCGCCCCAGGACCTCCCCCCTCCCAGGTCTGCCCCAGCCATAGGATCCCGTGCCCACAGCCAGCTGCCCTGCAGTGTCCAGGCCCCCAGCCCCCATGCCCCGGCAGCCCAGCCTCACCTTTGAAGTTGAAGAGGAGGCGGGTGAGCACCAGCACGGTGCAGTTGATCATGCTGACAGAGCCCCTGAGCCCCGGGGAAACAAGGTACAGGAACCTCTGCATGGCCTCTGTGTGGGGCAACAGTCAGGTCAGCGAGGGCCATGCCCCCCCGCATTGGCTCCTGCCCCGGCAGGTGCCAGTTGCACCCAAGAGCTGCAGCCCAGGCTGTTGCAAGTGACCCGCATCTGAGGGAGAGGGTACTGGGAAAGTTCAGCGCTGGGGGCAGCCTGGGAGAGGTCATGGCCGTACACATGGTGGGGGGGCTGCAGGGTACCAGGGGGGCAGTGAGCAGCTTGGGGTAGGGTAGTGGGGGCTCTAACCTTGTGGGGTGGGGCCAAAGCACAGGAAGGCCTGGCCCATCTTCACCAGCAGCATGGCAGCGGTCTCGCAGACGCCCAACACCTTGGTGCACAGAATCACCTAGTGGCATCAGCCATGTGCACTTCCCAGCCCTCCCCCCAGACCAGCAGCAGCTCTGAGCACACAGGGACCCCATCCCCACCCAGCTGACCCATGGGGGGAGTCCCTGGAGACACAAACCTATCCAAGCCCAGGGCCTCCTGCCCTGAACCTGGAGGTCCCCAGCCCCTCTCCTTCCCAAGCCTTCCCAGGGTGGGAACTCTCGCCCTGTGACTCACCTGCAGGAAGCGCTGGATGGTGTGGTACAGGGTGCTCAGGGTTGGCTCGTCAGCGTAGGGGATCATGGCCATGACCAGGTCCAGGTTGGACAGCCTGTGCAGGAGGGGGTGAGCCCGTGGCTGGCCTGGGTGCTGATACCCAGCTCTCCTCCCCGCAGTACCCAACTATGGGGGCGAGGGGGATGCTGGGAGTCAGCTGGGCTGGGGACACACTGGGGGCTCTGGGTAGGCAGTGGTGAGTGCAGCCCATTTGGTGGGGGGGCTGATCTCTCTAGGGAGGCGGCGCCTGGGAGTCCCTGTGATGGCACAGATATTACCTGGTGAACTCTACGATGTGGGGATCTCTCCAGAGCAGCATCTTTCCGGCATCCTGAAGGAACCTGCACACCATCTGCAGAGAGAGAGGGCCAGGCCAGGGGGCAGTGACTGGTTAGCTGCAGTGCCAGCTTTCCTGGATGCTCTGAGCCCCCCACAGTCTCCCCTGCTGTGCCTGGTCCTGCCTGTCAGGGCTGGAACATGGAGGGACCCCTGGGTCTTAGCTTGGTCCCTGCAACTCTTGTTCTGGCACCTTTGGCCCCCACTGCAGCCACGCTCCCCTTCCCTCCCTGTGGCTCTGCCCAACTTCCACGTGCTTCCACAGCAATCCCAGCCCAAGGCTGTGTGGAGATAGTGGCACCAGGTCCTTCCCTCTGTACCCACCAGGGTGCTCACAGGCCACCCCATGCTGCCCCCCTCACCTGCTGGTCAGTGATGGTGAGGTAAGTGCGGATGGTGTCCAGCACAGTGTGCTGATGTGCCCTGTTGTTGTTGGGCTGTCTGTACATGATGAACAAGATGGGCAGGAAGTACTTGGCGAAGTGGCTGACCTCTGCCCGCTCGGCAGCTGGGGATCAGGGGGCAGAGACCGGGGAGGGGGCCATGAGGGTCTGCACTGGGGCCAGGGCCCTGGCACCTACCCATGTTCCCCCTCCTGGGCTCCCCTGTGCATGCCAGGCCTGCCCTACAGGAGACAGTGGAGCCTGCCCTGGAGAGGCATTGGGGCAACCATCCCAGTCTCACTGTCCCCCACCATTCCTCTGCCCTTGGGGCAGGACACCAGCTCCCTCACCATGCTGCTCTGAGCCTCCCCCTGCCCACCTTACCTGTCTGGCAGCCTTTGGTGATGAGGGTGCACAGGGCCTGGCACACAGTGAGGTGCAGGTCAGGGCGCTCACTGAGAGTCATGCCCAGGGTGTGTGCTAGCCTGCCGAAGGAGTTCACCACATCCGTGGGACACCTGCAAAACATGGGCAGCAGGGACCACACCTGGAAGGCAAACAGAGACTGACCATGGAGAAGGGGCTGGAAGAGGCTGGCCTCCCAGCATTGACAAGAGGGGGTCCCCCACTGCTCACCCCAGCTTTCAGTGCTGGAGCCAGGGAGGGTAAAAGGCCCAAAGATTAGGGGTTTGTCTGGGATGGTTTGGACAGGGCTGACCCTGCCTCAGGCAGGGATTGGATTGGATGTGACCCCTGTGGGTCCCTGCCAGCCCCATGGCTCTGGGACTACATGAATGAAAGGCCCGCTAGCAGATATTAGATAAGGAAGACAGGCATGGGGGTGGAGGGGTCTGTGTCAGAGAGCCCCAAACCTCCCAGCCCTGGAAGCTGCAATGAGAAAGGAGCAGGGGGGAATTCTGGCCAGGCCTGCTTCATCCTCCCCTGCAGCACCTATCATCTGCTGTGGTGAGAGGCACGACACCGGGCAGGGGAACATAATAGGGCCCCAGGGGATCCTGGCACCCACTGCTGCACCCCCTCCACAGTTTCATCAGCTCTGCTGGAGCCTGGAGCTCGGGACCCTGGGGGTGCCTGCTGGCCATGCCAGTGAGCCACTGTTCACCTGCCCCTCTAGCTTGTTGTAGATCTTGGACTTCAGCATCATCCTGTCTTGAGCTAGCTTCATGGCTGCAGCAGAAAGAATGAAACGTAAGCCTGGCGGAAGCAGGCTTCAGCATATGTGCATACGTGCATGGGTGTGCCCATGTGTGTGGTGGGGGGAGGGCAAGGCAGGCACCCTGGGGGGCAGCAGGGTGAACTGTGCCATGGAGGGGGGCAGCTGGGCCTTAGAGAGCAAGGGATGTCAGCAGCCCTGAGATAGAGAGCCCCAGCTGGGGAGACGAGCTGAGTCCAGCTGGCCCAGCCAGAGTTGCCCAAGGGCCAAGCATACTCAGCCTGGGGGTGCAGGGGGACAGGGCCAGCAGGACCCCCTGCCCCCTCCACCCAGCAGCACCAGCCTCGCTGTCCAGTGCTGCCTACTTCACCCAGGGGTGGGGAATCCCCACGCAGCCACGGACTCGGCTCTGGCTGACGGAGGGGACCCAGAGCTCTCCCTTCTGGTCCCCCTCTTACCTCTGCCCTTCAGGGCAGCCGCCAGTGGCAGAAAGTAGTGAATGAAGAAGCCAAGCCGGGCACTGCGGATGTGGTCCTGGAGCACAGGCAACAGCCAGCTGCGGGAGAAGTCCAGTATCTCCCTGGCAGGAGGGCGCAGGTCAGCCAGGCTGGGCACAGACAAGCCAGGGCAGGTGCCACAGCACCCAGGTAGGATGAGGCCAACGTTGCCCGAACCCCACAGGTCCCAGCTCCTCATTACTGCAAGCAGGAGCCACTGGGGTGGGGAGCGCAGAAGAGGGGCTGGCTGGGAAAGGGCAGGAGCCAAGGTGGCTGCACAGAGACCCCTGGAGCCAGAGCCTCGCTAGAGCTGCTCCCCTGCCAGCAATGGTAGAAGAGTCTTACCCTCCCTCCAGGCCAGCTGACAGCAGGACCCAAAGGCCTTTGTGTCCTCTTGGGACACAGATCCCAGGGCAGGGAGGGAGGCTTGGGGCCATCGCACTGCTCCTGAGCCCCTGCCCCTGGCTGAAGCACTACAAATCTGCAGGCAGAGCCCACACTGCCCGAGTCCTCAATGGAAGGCGGGGTGGGGAGGGCTGGATTCAGTGCTCGGCCAGCAGCCCACTCCTGGGGCTCCTACTGCGGTAAGCAAAGAGCCCCTCTGGGATCCCAGGAACTGAGGCTGCTCCCCTCTCCCAGCCCATGCCTGTCTGTGCAGGCCCAGGGTCGGCAGCTGTAGGGGGAGGGCTGGGGCCTGGGTCCTGCCATCATTTCCCTCCCCATGGCTCTCCTTGGCTGCAGAGGCACAAGCCAGGACCTGGCAGTTGCCTGGGAGAAAAAGGATCCAGCTGCCATAGCTGGGAGCCTCTGCTTTCCCCACCCTGGTTGCTGGCAAGAGCCCTTGCCGGGCCCAGACCTTGCGGCAAGCCCGTACTCACTCCCTGCTCTTGATACCCAGGGGCACGGCCTCCAACAGCACCTCGGGACCCATGGCGCTCACGGCAGCCCCCACCGCCTTGTCCAGCTCGGTCACATCAGAGAAATCCAGGGACAGACGCAATTTGCACAGGGTCTTCAGGCACTGTGGGGGGAGGAGGGACATGGTCATGGGGTGCCCAACAACTCTCCCGTCCTCTCCACACCCCACATGGATGTGGCCAGTGCTGGGGAGCACCAGCCAGCACCATGCCAGGACACAGAAGGAGACAAAAGCCCCCACTACCCCCTTCCATGTCATCGGGGCAGAGCCAGCTCTTGTGCTGGGATCTGGGGCCCCCTAGCCATGGGTCCACAGTCACTCAAAGGAGCAGGAGGCCACCCCACGCCACCCTGTCCTCACCCCCTGCATGGCAGAGACCACAGCCTGGCCTGGTGCCAGTGCCATCACATGCAGCCCCCAGGCTGACACAGCCCACTGAATTCCACCCCGGGGAACCACCAGGGCAGCTCTCATCTGCCCAAGCCCACGTGTGAGCACAGGCCGTTGTGCAGAAAGTGTCATTGCTGCAGTACACTGTGCAAGGCAATTATGAGGCCCTGAAACGGACAGCCTCTCTGCCCCAGTCCGAGCCCCTCACCTTCCTCATGATGGGGTGACCCTGTTTCCCGCACACCTTGAAGAAGACCTGCAGCACCTGCAGCACAGGTGCCCGCACCTTACGGTACTGGTACGTCAGACCGTCCTCCACCGCCCTGCATGGACAGGAGGCAGGAGACTCAGTGCAGCCTCCAGCAGGGCAGGGAGCAGCTGCCTGACCCATCTGGGGTGGGTGGGCTAGATGCACCAGAAGAACCGTGGGGGCTTCTCCCAGCTACGAGAGCCTGGATGCAGAGAACATGGGTGGGAGTACCTGAGGCCCCGAAGAGACAACCCCAACCCCAGCCGCACCTGAACATCTCGCAGAGAGAGGCAGCGGGGCCGGAGGCAGAGGTGGAGATGAGCCCCAGGTTGGCCATGTGGGGGACCACGCACTTGTTCAGCAGCATCTGTAGGGGCCAGAGGGAGTCAGCGAGTCTGGACCCCTCCTGGCCTGTCCCCTGCCCCACTAGCCCACCCTGCTTAGTTCCCCACCCTCCACTGGGGAACGGGCCCTGGAGGCTCCAGCCCCAGCGTGAAACACTCCACCGTCAGCCCAGAGCACTGGGGGTGGAGACCCTGCCCTGGCCCTGCTGGCTGGGCTCCCAGATGTGCCTGCAGCCCCCTCACCCTCATGACCTAGGCCTGGTACCTTGAGGGTCTTTGCGGCAACTGATGGCACCTGGGGGTGCGGCAACAAGAAGAGGGTCATAGTGGCTGCGAAGAGCCGGGGCAAGTGCCTCCAGCACAGCTCCATCTGCAGCCTGCAACACAGATGGGGCTAGCAGAGTCCCTGCAGAGCTCCTGCCCCCCAACCCCAACACAGCAGCTCCCGTCAGCCTGGAACCAGCTACCCCCTCCCATGGCCACTTCCAGGCTAGACTGGACCAGAACAGCAGGAGCCACCGCCCCGGGCCAGGCCAGGACCCCAAAGCTTCCAGCCAGGCCAGTACCAGGCTCCGAGGCAGCCAGTGGCAGGCGCTGTGTGGCAGAGCGTGCATAGAGGGACCCTTCCCATGCCCCAGCAGGTGCAAGGTCAAGAGCTCACACCTGCCCAGGTGGATGTGGGCCCTCTCCATGACATCCAGCCAGGTCACCGTAGGCTGCAGATTGCTCTCGCTGGGCAAATAGTCATACAGCGCCTGTGGCAGGGCAAAGGGTGTGAGCAGGGCCCAGCCATGGCCTCTCCCCCATGGCCCCCCACGCTCACCTCGATGATCTGGACATTGAGCTCAACAGGGAGGCAGGTGTGACTGGACTGCGCACTGAAGAGGAAGTGGAAGATCTGCATGGCAGACTCCATTACCAGCTGCAAGGGACAGGGTGTCAGGGGGTAGGGAGGTGTTGGTGCCAGGCAGTGCCCCACAGGGCCCCTAGGTCCACAAGGCAGGTGTCCCTCCCCATCAGGGCTGTCCATCAGGACCCCTGCACCTCCCAAGCATCCCAGCACCAGGCCAACTCCTAGCAGAGCCTGCAGCACAGTCCCACAGCCAGGGATGGTGGGGTCTGGCTCTGTCCCAAGTGGCACCTGGGGCTCTCTGCACGTACCCCGACACATTGCATCCCCCTGTCAGCCCTGCCCTGGGCTCCCAAGGCACAACATTGGGAGCGGGGTCCTGGTAACGGCCAGTATCTGCCCCCTGCCCTGGGCAAAGCCTCACCATTTGGCCAAGGGTCATAACGTGGAGCAGGGTCTCGCAGTAGATACTCATGGTGGCCCCGGGCAGGCGGGGCAGCAGGTCATGCAGCAGTGTCAACACATCCAGAATGGCAGTGGCCTCCCTGGTGCCTGGGGGTGGTCAAGTAGGCACTGAGCGTGCACAACCCCAAGCAGCAGCCCTGGGTGCACAGCCCCTAGCCAGGTCTGCCCCTCTTGCCCCCAGAGCTCGGCACAGATGCTGGCTTGGGCACAACCTCATCCTGGCCACCGCTCAAAATCCCTCCCAGCCACCCACTCTCCAGCAGGCTCCTAGCCCTGGCCCAACTCCCCTGAGCTGCTGCCCTGGAGTCACGAACTGCCCCAGTGCCATCATACCCCCCAGCCCCTGTTACCTGCCTCTACAGTGCCGTGATCCCCCCCGCAACCGCCCCCACAGTCCCGTACCTCCAGCCCTCCTGATCTCCTGTGCACAGAACTTGACAGTGACACGCACGGCCCGGCGGTATGCGGGGGACACGACCTCAAACAGGATGGACGAGATGCCACACTGCGCTGCCTTCTGCACCTGCAGGGGTTGGGGAGCAGGTGAGGAGAATGCACAGGGCCAGGAACCAGTGCCGGGAAGCCCAGGCTTAGCGCTGCCAAGGCATGGCAGGGACCAGACCTGCAGCGAGGCTCCAGGAGGGGCTGAGCTGATGCAGGGGCCATGGGACAACGGGACTCACCTGGGGCTCAGCATGGAGTGTGAAGCTGAGTAGGTGTTGGTAGGCCTGCCGCATGACAAGTTTGTTCCAGGGAACCAGTTTCCGCAGCAGCGTGGCCAGGCAGGAGAGGACCTGTCGGGGAGACACACGGGGATGCTGGCACGGGGCCCATAGAGCCAGCGGGGCAGGAGACCCGACCCTCACCCCCGGCAGCCTGCACGTGTCCCCCTCCCACCTCCCCCCAGGCCTCTGTCCAGGCACCAGCAGGGTGAACACCCAGCACCCCACATTGCAATAGGCTGCACTACACCTTGTCGCAGCAGCACCAGGGGGGGGGGGGGGAGGGGGGGCTGACTCCCCCTGCTGCCGGCCCCCACCCCCAGCTCAGGAGGGCACAACAGGCCCCAAAGCACCCAGAGGGGAGCCCCAGGCCAGCCAGGCCATAGGAAGGGGCTTTGAGGTCCTAGGGCAGCTCTCACTGCTGCCTCCTCCCACCCCGGGCCACTCACCGAGCACAGGGCAGAGCTGGAGCTGCTGCAAGTCAGAGAGGCCAGAATGCTCCTGAAGGTTTTCGAGGTGTCCAAGAACCGTCTCCTCAGCATGGGCGCCGGGACCCTGGTGGAGACAGAGGCATTGGCACGGCCATGGGGGTCAGGGGCATGGAAACAGGCAGCACTCAGAGCTGTCTGCTCCCCACCAGCCTTTAGACCCTCCTCCTGCTGCTGCCTTTGCCCAGCACTGCATCATCCGCCCTGCCCCACAAAGCCCAGGACAGCTCTGCCCCTGGGCAGCCAAGACAGCCTGTGTATGCAATGCAAATGGGGGCACTCACCGCTCCAGCACCAGGCTGAGTGGCTTTGGAGCCGCAGCGCCGGGCCCTCGCGCACCACCCAGTGACTCTGAGCACTCCGTGGTCTTCAGCATGTTCATCTGAAGATGGGCACAGGTGCACAGCCCAGTCTCAGGGCAGCCCAAGCCAGGAGCAGGGGGATCTGCCTCTGGCCAAAGCCCCCAGAACCCTGCAACTGCCCTGAGCCAGCTGGGTCCTGGCCTGCCGAGGCGAGGTGGAGGACACTTGGAGCTGCTCCCTGACCCCCCTGTGCCAGGTGGAGCAGAAAGCAGCCCCCACCCCACAGCTGCAGCTGCCTTGGTCCCAGCAGCACTTGTCCAGGCCCTGTGACCTAGGCACCTGGGGACACTGCAGGCTGCAGCTGAGCACCCCAGCCCATGGGGCAGCCGAGGGAGAGCCCAGAACCCCCCAAGGCAAGACCAGCCCATGGCGGGAACAACTAGCAAGGGGCATTGCTGCCCTGGCCTAGCACTGATGCAGTACACCTACCTGGACACGGGCTTTGGGGACCCCAGGCACTTCCCAGAGCTCAGGCCTCAGCAGCTCATCATGGCTGAGCTTGGTAAGGAGCACCGTGCCCCTATGTCCAGCCCAGGTCCATGACCCCTGCACCACCCAGCACAGCCCTGTTGGGCCATGGGCACTCACCAGCACAGCAAAGTACTTAGTCACTCCCTCAATGCAGTCCTCAGCACGGATCTCTTTTGGCACAGCCGCCAACACCCGGCGGAGCTGTGGGCATGGAGTGGGGAGGGAAGCTCAGGCCCGGCCCCAGCCTGGTCCACGAACACACCCCAGCCTGGAGGCTGTGACACCTGCAGCCACTCAAGGCGGGAAGCCCTTGGCCCCAGCAGAGAACACCCCAAGCAGGGGCCTGAGAGCATCCCCTTCTCCACAGCACCGTGGGCCCAGCTCCAGCCCTGCACCCCACACCAGTCCCAGCCCCAGCCACCTCCTCATGCTCGATGGAGCTGCTGGGCCCACACAAACACGGCAGCTGCCAGAAGGTGACTTTGGTGTAGTAGCTTGGGCCGCTCAGGAAGGTGACCAAGGACCTATCGGTCTGGGCCTTGCAACCATCCTGCTCCTCCATGCGGGGCTGGGCAACTTCGCCCACCCCCAGAAAGCCTGGCTGCAGTTCATCAGGCAGGTTCACAGCATCCATGGTCAAGTTGCTCTTCTCTGCCAGACAAATGAACAGACAGACATGGGGGTCAGTGCTGGAAGGACAGCAGGAGGGCAGTCACCTGGCAAGGCTGGGAGATCTCTGCCCTCCCCAGGCTGACTCCTGAGCCTCGCCCTCTCTCCCCAAGATGCCCTATTATGTTCCCCTGCAAGGGAGCATGCCCCCTGCCCTGTCATTGATCAGCTGGTAGTCCCCAAGCATCTCCTTGCAAGGTGCCTCGTCTCCCCGGGGCTGCAGCACTGGCAGCCAGGACCTCACATGGGATGGGCCACAACAAAATGCCTGCAGGCAGCCGGGGACACAGCCCTGCCTGATGGAAAAGGCGCTGCCTCTGATGGGTTCCCTGGGAGAAAGGTCCCTGCCCATGGTCTCCAGCAGCCCTGGGGTCAGTGCAGCCCAACAAGGCAGAAGCCCTTGAAACAGCCTGGCTTATGCTTCCGTGACTCAAAGCTCAAGCTGGGGAAGTCTGTCTGGGGGCTGTCACTGCTGAAGTTCAAGCCAGAGCCATCACTGCCACCCCCAGGGTCAGGGGCAGGACCGTGGCACCAAGCCCTTTCGCAGTGGGGTCTGAACCCAGAGCATGCTGTTGCTTTTGCACATCCAAGATGCTGTCCTGTCCATGCCCCACGTTCACCCCTCTCTCCCGGATGGCAGCAGCAGAAGGGCCGGGACCCTGCACCAGCCCCAGCGAGAACCAGGCTCCCAGGGGCTCTGTGCACCCCCCATTCTGTACGCACAGCCTGAGTTCTTTTTTGCTAGATGCGATTTGTGTTTTAATACAGTCAAATGCCATGCCAGCTGGCCAAGGAGGGGGCATAGCCAGCTGATCTGCCCAGCTCTTGGCTCCGAATACAGGGGGACAGGGCCGGGGAGGAGAGACGGCTGATGAGGGTTTCCCCATCCCCGGAGAGACCCCAGCTGGGAGCCCAGTGTCCAGCAGAGGGGTGGATTTCCCCCCACACCCCTCTTCAGGGGCCTGGACTGAGGAGGGGGCATGACTAGAGGACCAGCTCCAGGCAGGGGGAAAAGAAGGAGAAACACCCCACGGGGGGCTTCCCTCCTCCCCCTTCCCCAGCATGTCAGCCAGGCTGGAGGCTGAAGAGGGGTGTCTGGGGAAAGTGCCCTCTCCCAGCTCTGCGCTGGCCCGGTGCCCCTGCTCCTGGTATGGGCCACTGCTGGGTCCCCTGTCACTTTTGAAAAGCAAATATAAGTGCACTACAAAGATCAAGTGAGTCCTGGGGCTTTTTCATGGGCAACTGGTGCCTCCCAAGTCGGGGGGAGGGCAATCAGATCACTGACCGGGGTGGGGTCCCCTAGCAGCGGATTGCCAAGCCCAAAATCGCCAGCGGTGAAACCGGAAGTGCACTTCTGCTGGCACTTCCAGTTTTGCGGCTGCTGTTTCCAGGGCATGCATGGCCAGTCTCAGGGGGTGCACGTGCATCCCCTATGCGTCACCAGTGGGCTTTTTGACTGTCTGTATTTCAGTACAAATTGCTTAACAGGGCCTCCCGCCGACTCCTAAGTTGCTCAGTTCATCAATGGGACAGAAGAAAGCCCATTAACAAAATCAACTTAACTTCAGTCAGTCCTTTTGCAAAGAAAGGCCGAACCATCAAGTTCCCTTCCTTGTGCTTCCCTCCATTAATAACTCTGTCAATGAACTGTATATTCCTCAACTTGAGTTGGACCCCGCTGATCTGCCCAGGTCCCTTCCAGCCTTACAATCTATGAATCAGTCCCACCAGGTTGTTAGCCCACCCTCGCAGCCCGAGTCGGGGCTGGGGACCCCTCTGGCATAGGGGCTTTTCCTTCTACCATTCCCCCCCCCCCAATCAGGGGAAAGTCCCAGCTCTCCAACAACAGAAAAACACATCAAACAGAAACGAAAGCAATTTTGCAATAAAAAAAATGACAGGCCCCTTTTAAAGACTCACAGGCCAGTGTAACAGAGGCTTCCTGCTCTTTCCCCACTCTGTCACCTCCCAGCTTGCTTTCTCGCGCCACTGGTCTTGGTTGGGAAAGATGATTCTTCGACCACCCTGGCCTGGGGGTCTGCTCACTCCTCTGATGGCAGAGGGGACCCTCTAGCTCCTCTTCTACGTGCCAGCGCAGCTTTGGTCCTGCCCTCTCCCGGATAGAAACACAGTTTTCAAGCTCCCCAACCAGGAGCGAGCAGGAACTCAGAACCTCCCAACCACTCCCTAAGCGCTTCCCCTCCTACCGAAACCAAAACCACTTCTTTTGTAGGCTGCTTTTTTTGGGTGTTTTTTGGAATGACCCTTTTTTTTACAAACAGTTCTGCAGCTGTTCTTATCTTCATCCTCAGCAAAGGCAAACATTGTATAAGTACTAGCGAATTGCCCGTCAAGAATGACAGATGAATTTCAAAGCACAAAAACAAACAGATTTTACTTTTTATATTTATTAAATAAATTTAATATTTATAAAACTTAAATGACATAGGCTGAACATTTGAAGATACCAATCCCTCCCTCCACTTGCTCTCACCCTGCTGGAAGGAGCCCAGCCGCTGCCCGTGTGCCTCTTTGCTAGGCAAGGGCAGACGAGCTCCGTGCCTTGCAACAGCTGCCCACGCCCCGGGGCTTCCTTCGTGCCACCCTCCTTCCCTGGTCCGGGCTTGGGATGGGGCCACCGCTGCTCACCCACTGCCTTGCGCCTCTGCCTAGCTCCTGCTTTTCCTCAGCTGGCCCCTCCCTCTGCTCTGTCCTCCTGGGAGGAGCTCAGTAGAAACAGCCCTGGTCCCTGACTTTTTTCCCTAATTCTGGAAGTTGGGATCATCCTGACATAGCCACTAAACAAATGCCAGACTAATGTGGGAATTACCATACAGACAGCGCAAAATGTCCAGGCATGTAAAAATAGATTAAAACTTGGGAACATTGCTGCAAAAGGCTGAGCATGTGTTGCGCCACGTGTCAGCGGCTTGCAAACAGAAGCTGCAGGACAACCCCCCCCCGAGGCCTGGTTACACACCAAGAAAAGGGGGACACTCAATTCTGCTGCCAGCTGCTTGGCAGAAACATTTCTGTGTAGCCCCGACAGCAACGCTGGGGGCAGTTTAGCTGTGGGGGGGCATCCCCTGAAGAGAACCGGAGGGCGCAACATGAGCCTTCATGCCAACATGCTACAGGCAACACCAACTCAGGCCTCCGAGATGAAGAATCTCCGATGCCAGCATCAGGCAGGACAGCAGGCGTTAGCTCCGTCAGGAGCCAAACCTCTGGCAACACCAGGGGCTCAGAGTCATGCCCTCTGCAAGTGCCTCAGGAGGTCCCTTCCTGCCCAAGATGCCTGTGAGAGACCCCTTCCAGCTCTGCACCCCAATCTCCTTACCCCCTCCGCTGTAGCAGCACCATGAGAAGAGAGAGTAAAGCTGCAATCATGTCACACAAAACCAGGATGTCCAGAATAACATTAATCAAAGTGCCTACAGCTATGGAGAGAAGACAACTGTTAAGTTCCTGTATACTGATGTCAGCAGCGTGGGCAATAAATAAGTAGGAGCATTAGCACTGCTTGCTCGTTTACAAATGTCATTTTGACCTATCAGCAGACAAGGTTCTTTGGGTGAATCTGATATCTTTTATTAGACCAACTTAAATAGCTGGAAAACAATTTTTAAGCAAGCTTTCAGGTTCAAAAACCCTTCGTCACGCTAAGGAAGTTTCAGCAGTTGGTGTGTGCTCTTCCTGGATGGAATGAAAAGTAAAGAAGCCTACTTTTGACCTATTGGTACCAATGAAACCTGACGGGACAAGTCCCTAGCTATGCCTTTTTAGGAAGAGTTTCGTAGTCAAGAGAGAAGGAGAGCAGCACTACATGCAATGGTTTTACCTGCCTGAGTCAGGGACAGTTCAGCCGCAAAGGATGCTGAATGCCTATGGACTGACATGAAGGCAATGAAGCATGAAATGGAGTGTGGCTGATGTCTGTTACAGAACAGCAACACCTATTAAAAAACAGGACTAGCTCCTCTAAACCCTTGTCTATAACACGTAGGGAAAAAAAACTGACTATTCTGCGGATTTCAGTGAGTGACATACTGAGACTTTCAAGCTGCCAACACTAAAACTTCTAAAAACTGCAGGTTAGAATTTGCTAACTCATCAAGTGTTCCTCCAACAGGAAGGGAATCTGTATCAGCCTTTACAGTGACAGATAAGAGGACCTGATGTCAGAACTAAAACTTAGTTATGTACAGGTGGTCAGGACTTGATTACATTTGTCACGTGCCAACAGAGAAAGTCCAACCCAGTAATATAGTTAACAAGGTGCTTTAAAATGGCCAGTTTCACATCATCAAATACAGTTAAGAGCTGAATCAATTTTGTGAAAGAACTAAAACAGACAAATCTAAATGATAATCAGCAACTGTCTAAGGATATTGTAGAAGGTGCCCAAAGTCATCGTCCCACAGTCAAGAGAGACCGTGATGGCTAGAAACAGGTTAGACTTAGCACGCAAGTACAAGCTGCAGTAAAATATATATTTAACAAATACACAAAGAAATGGCAGCCACGAAGTTAGTAGCCATGAATATGTTAGAAACAAAGTAGTCAGGAAATTGGTTAGGGAAGCAAAAAAAACTACGAAAAGAGAAACTCAAGGCTCACAAATTCGGAGTTTTAAAAAGTATATCAACAAGAAAAAAAATCCTATCATATTGACTTCTTATCATATGGACATGTTAGAACGATCAGTAATAACATAGTAGAGATAGAATATTCAACAAATAATTCTGTTGTATTTTTGGCAATATATATAACAACTTTATGACAAAGGTAATTTCCATTCTGAAAGTAAATAGAGATACTGAAACGAGGATGATTTTAGAACAGAATCAATTCATTTTAAGGTAGCGCTTGATACATAAATAAATGGGATTATACATTGTTATCCATGACATTTGGGATTGGATTCAATGACCCAGGAGGTGTCTCATGCTCCAATATTCCTATAGTGATGTTGAATACTCCTACAGGATGCCCAACATCTTATAGGCAATCAGGACTCATAGTAGAGATGATATCTTTTATTAGACCAACAAGATTTTTGCAAAAAAAATTTCTTTAATTGCAAGCTTTTGGGCACCAGCCCCCGCCATCAGGCATTGGAGAAAAGGTTGTAATAGTTCTCCTGGGTAGAAATGAAAGTTCACATTTCACAGAGGAGTCAACAGATGGAAAATTCCTCTTGGCAGCCCGAAGCTTGCAATGAAATTTTTTTTTTTTTTTGCAAAGATCTTATAGCGATGTTGAAATCCTTGCCGCATAAAGTATCTCAGGAGGATGCCAAACCTTTTAGCTGCTGCTAAAAGTTGATCATGTTTATGTAAAATAATGTGCATTTGAGAGTTCGTAAGAGTTGGCCAAGGATCTCTTTGGGGTTGAAGATGATTTTCAACAAGTCTTGGAACATTGAGGAAATGCCAGAATAACTGAAGAAAGCTCATGGCAATATTTAAAAAAGATAAACAAGAGGACTCTTGTAGCTATAAGCCTACCACCATGACATCATTCCTGGGCAAAATAACACAACAGCTAATATGGGACATGATTACTAACAAATTGAAGGAGGGCAATACAATTAATGCCAGTCAACATAGGCCTACCTAAAATAGATCAGACAAATTCATAGTTTCATAGTAGCTAGGGTGAGGAGGGACCTGAACAGATCATCTAGCCTGACCCCCTGCCAGAGGCAGGAATGAATGCTGGGTTCACAAGACCCCAGACAGGTGATCATCCAATCTCCTCTTGAATTTGCCCAAGGTAGGGGCGAGGACCACTTCCCTGAGAAGTTGGTTCCAGATTTTGGCCACCCTAACTGTAAAATATTGCCTTCTGATCTCGAACCTAAACCTATTCTCCATCAGCTTATGACCATTGTTCCTCGTCACCCCAGGTGGTGCTGGGGAGAAAAGGACTCTGCCTATTTGCTGTTGATCTCCCCTGATGAGCTTGTAGGCAGCCACCAGGTCCCCCCTCAGCCTGCTCTTGCTGAGGCTGAACAGGTTCAGGTCCTTCAGTCTCTCCTTGTAGGGCCTGTCCCGCTGCCCTCCCACCAAGCGGGTGGCCCTCCTCTGGACCCTCTCCAGGCTGGCCACATCCCTTTTGAAGTGCGGTGCCCAGTACTGGAAGTAGTACTCCAACTGCGGCCTGACCAAAGTCACATAGAGGGGGAGGATCACCTCTCTGGACCGGCTTGAGATGCACCTTTGGATGCATGACAAGGTATGGCTGGCCTTGCTGGCTGTGGTCTGGCATTGGCGGCTCATGTTCATCTTGGAGTCAATAATGACTCCGAGATTCCTTTCCGCCTCTGTGCTTTCAAGAGGGGAACTCCCTAACCTGTACGTATGCTGTGGATTCCTTCTCCCAAGGTGCAGCACCCTGCATTTGTCTACGTTGAACCCCATCCTATTCTCATCTGCCCACTTTTGTAGTCTGTCTAAATCTAGTTGCAGCCTCTCTCTCCCTTCAAGTGTGTCCACCT